ATATTAATATAGGATCTACACTTTTACAAGGAAGAATACATCTAATAAAGCATGGTGGGGAAAGGTACAAATTGTTAACTGCAGATAAAAATGAAATTGACACTATATTTATTGACCAACGTAACAAGTAATGTAAACGTTAATAACGTTTTTTTTTTCTAAATGCATTATTTTATGACATTATTTTTATACATATATGTATTAACTTTATAGAACAACAAATGGCAATGTATTAGTTATTACTTGTGAAGGAAATTGTGGATTTTATGAAACTGGTATTAAATCAACTCCAATGAATAAAGGATATTCCATATTGGGTTGGAATCATCCAGGATTTGGTTGTAGTACTGTAAGTATTATTTTTATATTAAATTTTATAATTTATTTGTACTGATACTTTGATGAGAAGAATTGCTATTACTTTATCATACTTTGTTTTAAATTGCAAAGATGAAATTTTGGTAATGTTGCAGTTAATATCAATTATATATTTAAATTAAATGTAATTGAAGTAATGGCAAGACTTCTCATTCAGTCAAACTATGATTGTAAAATGATAACAGTAAGACATGAAAATGACTACAAAGGGTGCGCCGTATCCTCTCCAAGAAGAAAATGCTATCGATTGTGTAATGCGTTTTGCGATCGATTACTTAACATTTCCTGAGGAACAAATAATTCTTTATGGTTGGAGTATTGGTGGATATACTGCGACATGGGCTGCTATGAATTATCCTTCTATACAAAGTTTGGTAAGATTGCTCTATTATTTATTTTATATATTAATTTAATTCAACTAATTTTACATAAAATATTTTAAAAAATTAGTAGTGAAAAATTATAGTAAAATATTTTATAGGTATTAGATGCTACATTTGATGATGTACTTCCATTAGCTATTATGACCATGTCTTCATCATTAGAGGGTTTAGTTCGGAATATTATTAGGGATCACTTTAATTTGAATATTGCTGAACAATTAAATAGGTACTATAATATTCATTATAATATCGAATAAAATTATATACATACATAAATATATATATATATATATAAATGAACATACAATTTTATATTTAAATATTGTATATTTTTTTTTTATATTTAAAATTTTAATAGATTATACGTATATGTTATATATAAACAAATAAATCTTTTTTTTTAGATACAATGGCACAGTATTGCTTATACGAAGAACAGAAGATGAAGTAGTCTGTACACCTAGTGGTAATAGTTTATCAGGAAATCGAGGTAACATGTTGCTTACAAAATTTTTAATACGACGTTATCCAGAACTTTTTGCGGAAAATTCAGAATGTGCTGCGCTTTTAGCGAGATTTTTGTCTGCAGATATATCTACTAGAAGTAAGAAATCAATATTAAATATAAATTTTAAGTTAATCCTTCAATATTACATTGAAATGATATATTTTAATATTTTAATATTGATATTTGCAGAATCAATAATTGAAACAGTGAACGTTGATGAAAAACAATGTTTAAATTTTGTTGCAAAGGATATAGAAAAGAATAATGGTATTATAAATTATCCTTCTATGCTTGGTCAAGACTGTGATTCTAAAATAAAACAACAGATCATTCTATTTCTGGTATGTAATTACATAAAGTTAATAGATGCATGAAATTATAATTATCTGATATAAATAAAACGATAAATGATTTATATTTAGGCAACAATGTATATGAAGGATCAACCATCATCACATTGTACACCATTAGCAGTGGATTTGTTTCAGCCTGGTTGGAATCCTACGACTGCAATGTCCATAGCAGAATGAAAGTTCTGTGATATAATTGACTAAGAGCTTCATTCAAGATTCTTATTCTTATGATAATAGGAACTCTTAAGAGTCATAATAATTTTCGATGCATTTTACATTAAGTTTTACTAATAAGTGTTATTTATTCTATATGAATTTCAGTCTATTTTTTCAAAATGATACAAATATTATCAATTCCAAATTGATAAAAACATTACTTTTAATTATAATTTTTATATCCATTAACTAAAGTTCTAGTCTATTATAATTTCGGTATTTTATAATTTGGAAATTTGTATCTTCATTAACAATATGCACAATAATATAATTGTTTATATATAAACAAAACTTATAAAAATTTGATACAACGATTTTATTTTGGAAAATTCATAATTAATTCGTATCTTTACATTTTGCAAAACATTTAAAAATAAATAGATATATCAATATTTCATAAAAGAATTATATAAAAAATAATTCAATAATTATTACGTGCTTTGTATACGATCTAAAACAGTTTTAAGAGAATCTTTTGAATCTTGTAAAGAATCCATAACTTTTTTTTTGCTTATTCTTATCGGCTTTTCCAAAAAAAACTTTAACGTATTTCGCGTTTCTTGTAAAAAATAATCTTTTTGACTAACTATTTCTAATGCTTTAAAACATCCTTCTAAATTCCAATCAATTTTTCCACTGCTTTTATCTTCTGCCTGAAGTATAAGAAAATAATACTATTTTTTATCTGAAATATATATATATATATATATACATATCTAAATTAACTATTATAAAATACTTACTTTTATTAAACCTAAGTTGACTAGCAAAGCATTATTCCAAATAGAAATCTGATCATTTTCAATTGCAAAAAAGCATAACTTTGAATACAATGCATCTGTAAGATTTTGAGCTCTTAATCTTACATCAACGTAACCACTTGTATTAAGTGCTGATACTTTCATAATTATTCTTGTATACTCTTCAATGAATTTTAATTCCGAAGATGTATCAGTATTTGATGAGTTCTAAAATGTAAAAAAGAAAAATATTATTATTAAAAAGCATAATACAATATTTATTGTAATATTATTAATATTACTTTAATTAAATGTAATTATTTACTTTGGCATAAGTTATAAAATCTTGTACTATATCATCTGGCAATAATAGTAAATTTTCTCCTGTTGGTGATTTTAAAAAATCTATAACAGATATTTTTGATCGTGTTATGTTGCCATTTATAATTGTATCCTTATTAATATCTCTATTTTCTTTACTTTCATTTTCACTTTCATCACTTTTTTCATCACTTTCTTCATCATTTTCCTCTTCATCTTCTTCCTCATCTTTTTCTTTATCTTCTTTATCACTTTCATCATCATCTAATGTACTTAATGATCCAATTCTTTCAGAAATTGTAAGTGAATCACGCAAAATAGTACAGCCTTCTTTACCAAAATTATTTCCATCCAATTGTAAAGTTGCCAATTGTTTTTTATCAGCCATAGCAAGAGCTATGGGATTGGCACCCTTTGTTTTTATTTCATTATAACTTAAATTAAGTTCAGTAAGTGATGGATAACTACCTTCAACACCTAATGCTTCTGCCAAAACCATACTTCCTTGAGTTTTAAGTAAACAATCACCAAGATTAAGTTGTTCTAAATTTTTGAAATTTGGTAATGCTTTGGCAATTGCTTGAGCTCCTTTTAATCCAACAGTATTATCATTAAGATTTAAAATTCGTAAACCAGGATTATATGATAATCCATTAGCAAGTGCTGTTATCCCTTCATGATATATACCATTCTGAGGCATAGCAACTTCTTCTAAACTAGTTAACTTTTGGAAAACAGAAGCTAATGCTTTTGCACCTTCATTTTCCAATCTATTTCTTCCAGCAACAAATACTTTTAATGCTAAGGGAGGTGAGCCTAAGAAGAAGTTTTATTAGTTTATTAATAATATATATTTTATTAATAATAATAAATTAAAATAAAATTAATAATAAATTTTACCTGCTTCAAAACTATTATTATAACAATCTAATAATGCCTTTGCCAACATTTTTCCACCTGATATTCCAAGTCCATTGTTATCTAATCTTAACACACGAAGAGTATAACAAGAACTAGAAGTCAAGAAATTTGCTAATCCTTCAATCCCAATCGGACCAAAAGCATTATCACTTAAATCAAGTTCAAAGAGATGAGTACCAGCAGTACATAATGCAGAGCCAAGATATTCAAGTGCTTTTGGTATTTCTGATTTTAAACGACCAGTAAACATATCTTTCCAAAGTGCACGTTTCATTAATGAACCATTTTCTTCCAATGCCTGAGCCACAGCTTTAGCAGCAAGTGGTCCTAAAGTATTGCCTTCCAAATCTAAATATTCTAGATTTGTACATGCTCGTATTGCTTTGACTATTTCCAACGCTAATTAAACAGAAAATTAAATGTTCAATTTACATAACCTTAAAATGTTTATGAATTGCATAATCTTATAAAATTTAAGAATATAATAAATTATTCATATTGAGATAATAAATAACTTACCATCTTCTTCAGTATCAAGCTTAAGCGATTTTTTTGCAAATGATACACCAATACCGGCATTATTTTGAGTAACATCTTGTAATTCAGTACCAAGATCATTTAAATTAAATGAAGACATTGCTTATGTTTAAATATAATTATAAATTATAATGATGATATTTAAATATTTTTTCGTTATGTAAAATGTTAAATGATTAATGATATAAACACTATTTTTTGATTATTAATAATCACCTAATCTCAAAACTCATTCATAATGTTGATATAAACGGAACATGACGCCACGCGAATAAACGCGGGAGAAATATACCAACTGTTAAAAAAAATTGACACATATGTATAAAATATTACATCTTTCGCTCTTATTCATATGTATTTTTAATTAGTTATTTGTGCTAGATTATATATTTATTTTTTATGAAAATATGTAAAAAACATATAATAGCAGCAGTGCATAAAAATATATATATAATTTATTTTTTATTATCATCTTTTTATTTTTTTTAGGATATTACATTGTAATAATGTTGACAATTAATATTATGACATTATAATTTATATATATATTTATAAAAGATTTCGATTACTAACAAACGCACATGCGTATGAACATGATTAAATCAATTTCGCGCCAAATGTATTACTGTCAGTGATCTATCTAATATTTGTTCATAGGCATACGCCCGCAGTTGCAGTTGCTACTGCACAGTCCGCACCCGTACGTTCGCGTAGTGCGTTTCAGAATACTATCTTTATTAAAACACCAACGTATACACATACACATATAAGCAAAATCGAATTTTAAAAGCTAAGGAAAACTGCTGGTGATCAACGAGATTTTATAGACGATAGACATTCGCTATTTGTGTTGATGTGGCCGCGTCAAATGAATGTGCAATTTATTAGTGGTTGTTTTGAGACTGGATTGTTACTCGATTAGAATGGTTGCAAGTGTCGCGCGCATCGCTGGCAACCCGTGCAGTGTTGTGCCAAAATAAATCGACGATAGTTATTCCTTGGGAGCTGCCAGTGGACGAATGTACTTCACTATTCGAGTCCGTTTGCTAGCGGCGGGACAAGCTATGTGGAATTGCGATTGCCCGCTCTTTTGTCTCTACGAAGACTATGGGTGTCATATCCCTTTGATGTGCATCCCGGTATTTTAAAAACGATCGTCTTCGCCAAGCGAAAGTGTTTTGCTTGGCTATTATCGTTTCTACATTCTGGATTTCGTTTTTTTTATCTATTTGAATTATATTTTAAAAAAAGGCTAGAACAACACATATTTCATCATAGTGTTTTCAACAATTTTTATCCGCCCTGACGTGATTTGCCCGGTTTGCCCGCCACAGGACGGGTTATGTTTCCCACTTTCATCGGAATCTTAGGTGAGCTTTCATTTCCTTTCGTCATGAAGAGAAAGAATTATGATAAGATACTTTATGAATTTTTTTCTTTTCTTAATTATTATACTATACCACTAGGAAGATCGATGCTTACAATTGAGAGCTCTTGTCAATGACCCCAAGTTTAGCAACAGAATTATTTTCATTGTTTTTTTCCCTATTGTATTACATTCTACATAAGGTATCAATGCACGATCGTATTTATATTTGTGTTTGCGATTAATATTGTTGAAAATGTTTTATTTTATCATATTTTGGAAAGTTTTTCAAAACTTTTTATTCCTTTATAATAAAATTCTTTTTATAAATATTTATTTTAATTACTTAATGCTAGTTTTATTATTTTAATGAAGTACTAAAAATTATATATAAAAAAAAAAATAAATACATAAATAAAATTTACAATTTATTAAATATATTATAAATAATATAATTTA